CCAGGAAGACTTCTTATGTGGATTGGAGCATTCCAAGATGCATTGTTCTCCAAGTGTTTCCTGATCAGGTACTTAACCTGGCGAATTCCTTCCTAAAGAAGCTGACCAAATGCCTCCCAAAGCTTACTTAGAAACCAAGCAAGCATACAGCCCATATTCTTAACCTCAAGTAGAAAATGATATATATATCATACAAATAGGATGAATAGATATAGTAGACCATAATCTTTACGGAGATATGTTACCTGGCACAGACAGCACAAAACATATCCCAGTTATGTCATACATACATTTATAAGCACCCCCTCCCCATAAAGCCTTATGGGGTACACTGTCACATACCCCTTCCCACTGCTCTGCTGAAATGGCTGATGGGGGCCCCTGGGTCCCTGGGCCCTGTAAACAGCTAATCGGTGCCGGTGGGTGCTGAGCACCCCCCTTTTTTTTTTCAGTGGGTGCTCCAGCCCCGGAGCACCCCCGGAGTCGGCGCCTATGTTCTGAAGGTTATTTTTTCAGCAATTCATTTAAATTTAAAAATCAGATATTCAATTTACTGCTATTGTGAAAATCAAGCTAGCTGAAATAATGTATCTTCTGGGATGTGCAGAAAGAAACCAGGCATTTGCAGTGGCAGTCATCCTGAAGAATACATAAGTGCGCTGTTACGGATGTCATAATTACAGCATGTTCAAACAGCATGACAGAAAAGATATGCAAGCTTGTTCACATCGTGAAGCTTTCTCATGTTGCTTTGTAGAAAACGTTGGTCCCTTTTGGTCTGAACTGGCTAGTTTTGTTGGGAATGGAGCAATGTCCTTAGGGGATAAATGTTAAGTCTTTGCTTGAGTTTCAGATTGTGTTTCTGACTGAGATTCAGGAGATGCTGGAGCAATCCAGGCACTGGCCTGGGCATTGGATTGGTGACCTTTCTGGATGGCGAAGGCCAGTGGGGAAATACCTGGTTGATTGTTGAATGAGAGTGTGATGTTTGGGAGAAGGGAGAAGTGGCTGCTTTCTGAGGAGCTATCTTAAGAGCCTGTTCAGGAAACTCTCTCTTGACATTGATAGTCCTGCCAATTATTGACCTATTTCCAATTTCCCTTTTCTGGGGTTGGAGAGGTGGTTGAGAAGTTGTGGCAGGTCAATCCTAGAGTTATCTGGATCCTCAGATTGCCTGGATTCTAGTCAATCTGTTTCCATCCCTGGATATGGCACAGGAGGAACCCTTCGATGATGCAATTCAATGATTTCCTTCTGGAAAGGGAGAAAGTGGCCATGCTATGATCCTCTTATCTGCTTTTGATATCACTGAGCACACAGTTTTGCTGATGCACTGGTAATCCCTAACATGAATTAATGGAGTTGCTTCTGCATAGTTCCATCCCCTGCTTTGTGAGAGATCCTAGACAATTGTTTTGGTCAATTGCTCTTTTGTCTGGAAGGCTCTCTCATGTGGAAACAATGAGAAGTCCTTGTGGCACCTTAGGGACTTAGGTCTTGTCTACCCTGGCAATTAACAGTGCTGCAACTTTCTGGCTCAGGGGTGTGAAAAAACGCCCCCCTGAGCGCAGCAAGTTGCAGCGCTGTAAAGCACTAGTGTAAACAGTGCCCCAGCGCTGGGAGCTATGCCCCTCGTTGAGGTAGGTTTTTTTTTTGAACTGTGCTGTGACCACACAAGGCACATTAAAGCGCTGCCATGCCAGTGTAGACTAGCCCTAACACAAGGACTCCTCGTTGCTGATACAGACTAACACAGCTACCACTCTGAAACCTGTCTCTCATGTGGGTTCATAAGGATGCAGTTCCATGAGTATCTGTGGGAACTAGGATGGTTAGTGGGGAGATAAGGGCTAAGGTGAATTCAGTTTGAATACATTGTAAATACCTTAAAGGGGTAAACGCAAGGCAGGGTGAAGAGCTATTTAAGCCAGTGGTTCTCAACTTATTTACCATTGTGGGCCGCATCCAATACTACCTGTATGGCCCTGGGGATGTGACATGGGCTGCAGCTCTGTGCTGACTGGGCTGCAGGTTAAGAACCACTGATTTAAGCTAAAGCAGTGGTTCTCAACCATGGGTCTGGGCCCCGTGAGGGCCTCACACAGGTTTCAGGGGTCTGCCAAGCAGGGCCAGGATGAGACTCACTGGGACCCAGGGCAGAAAGCTGGTGCTCCACTGCATGGGGCTGAAGCCTGAGTGTCACCACCTGGAGCTGAAGCCAAAGCCTGAGCAACTTAGCTTCATGGGGGCCCCTGTGGCATGGGGTCCCAGGCAATTGTCCTGCTCACTACCCCCTAATAGCGGCTCTGACTTTTATAAGCAGAAAACCAGTTATTGTGGCACAGGTGGGCAGTGGAATTTGTATAGCATGTTTGGGAGATCCTCAGAAAGAAAAAGGTTGAGAACCCCTGAGTTAATGGACAACCTTGGCACAAGAACAAATGGATATGAACTGGCTATGAACAAATTCAGGCTGGAAATTAGAAGATTTCTATCCATCAGAGCAGTGAGGTTCTAGAACAGCCTCCCAGTTAGAGTGGGGGGAGGGGGGGGTCAATTAGTTTTAAGAAAGAGCTGAACAACTATATGAGTGGCATTGTATGATGAGATTGCTTGTGATGATAGTAGGTAGGGCTCACTTTTGGTTTTATGTCTAATGTTCCTAAAGCTCATACTTCAGGGTTTCAGCCAACCACTGCTGGTCACTGCAGGGATCAGGAAGGGTATTTTTCCTGCCAGTGTATTTTGAGATTCTTCTTTATCTCCTTCCTCTGAAGCATCAGAGCTGGTCATGGCTGGAGATGGGATATTGAGTGGGGTGGACCAGGGCTCTGAGGTGGCCCTGAGCAGTCTCTCTCTCAGGTGCTTGGCTGGCTGTTTCTTGTTCACATGCTCAGGGTCTAACTGATCGCCATGTGTAGGATTGTGAAAGAATTTTCCCCCAGGTCTCATTGGCAGTGAGCTTGAGGGTATCCTGCCTCCTCTGTGTGGGTGTTGGTCACTTGCCACGATTATCTGGGTAGATCTCACTTAATTATTTCCCTGCCATTGCGGGGGCCTCAGTCACTGGTGCACCTCGGTCCCTCCTATTCTCTGCCTATGGCACACAATAGTCTAGTCTCCTGTGGGCCGTAATACTTTTGGTTGCTGTGTTTAGTGAGCGAGTGCTGGGTGGTGTTAGTGGCCTGTGCTATGCAGGAGGTCAGACTAGATGATCTAGTGGTCTCATCTGATCTTAAACTCTATGCAGATGACACCAAGCTTCATGTCTCTTAACCCATCTGGTGCAGGAGAGTGACTAACCTAGTGTCTGAATGGGGTTGGAGCATGGACTAGGACTAGCTGACACAGTCTCAATCCAGATAAGGATGAAGTGATATCAGTAGGGTGGAGAAGCACCCAGGAAAGTGTGTGACGATTATATTAGCAACCCTGACTGAGGGTGTGCACCTGTTGCTTTTTATCCAGCTTCACAGTGTAGATATCTTGCTAGATCTTAGTAAGCTCCTAGATGTTCAGTTGGTAGCTGTGGTCAAGAGAGTGTGAACTTTTCTTTCAGTTCTGGACTTTGCCACAGTCATCCATAGCTATGTTCCTTCTGGACCAAATTTCTGTTATGTATTCTGCATGGGACTATACATCTGCTAATTACATCTAGTGCAAAATGCTACCACCTGCTTGTTTCTTAAGTGATGTGTCACACTGCCCTGCTGTTCTCTGATCTGCACTGGGTGTCAATAAGATTCTGTGTGGAATTCAATGTGTGTATTTCCATCTATGGATAATCACTTCAAAGAAGTGGAAATAAAGACATGAATTAAATAAAGCAGTGTGGAAATTTTTTTTGTTACTTCAGAGAAATGTAAACAGGAACTACAGAATTCACTGTTATTTTATTACATTTTTAAATTTTCTATTCTCTTTCCAGTTGGAATTGCAGTGGATCTGATTCATGTTAAGTTCTGTTTGCTTGAGTAGT